ACTAATGTGATATCAAATGCTATTCTACTTTGATGTATCCATTTTTAACATTTTAGAACTTCATGTGATGTATGTACATCACTCCTTTTGGTATCAAGGCCTTATTGTTAATTATTTTGGCCATACTTACTTCTATGTGTTAGTATTATGCATAAACTTGCATTTGTAAATCTTGGTTGTAACATCTCACACTTGTTTTCATGATTTATTATATTGTTTTATTTGCTTATATACATTTGGAAAACCCATGAACTTCAAATGTTGCATCTTATCATTTCCATTAATGAATTAAGGGTTTTTAAGTATGACTTGCTTCATGATATATCTTAAGCATACATTACCTATCATTGCTTCATTGTTCCATTGATTGCATAATCATTGAATAATATATAACGGAAGCATGTTGATAGGGGGAGATTATTGGTAATCTCTTGTGAATGATTATTGCAAAATTTGCTAAGCTTTATTGACTCATCTTGGAAATTGTCAAACATGCTACAAAATGACTTGTTAGTCATTATATTCATATGAGCTTTCATGTGCTTAATGTTATTTCCCTCTTTCTTGAAATATCAAATAGGGAAATAAAATTAGAACTTAAGGTCTATTGAGTTCCTAGATTTGCCTTTGAGAGGTTGTTTACCTTTTTAAATTATTCTAGTTTATACTTCATGTGTGGTTTATGTCTTATTATGTATACTTTTGTATATAACCTGAATCTTAATGATACATTGAACTCATACCTTTCATGAAATTGGCTTCTTATGATATAATTGCTTACGTGTTTTATTCCAAAGCATATTATAGTCATTAATTCTTCAAATGCCAATTCTTGACTTTACCATGTCAATTCACTATGCTAAATGATAAAATGCTAAAAGAAGATGTCTTAACCTCCCACCTTTTTGAGATGCCAAAGGGGGAGAGAAATGTGATGTGTTAAATGATCTTAAAAGCATGTTTATGTCTAAAATGATTTATGATATAAAAAGCATGTTATTTTATGATATTATGTTCATTATGTTCACTTTGATAGGGGGAGCATTTTTCAAATGCTACTCCACTTGATTACGAACACATCAATGTTTGGTCATCATCAAAAAGGGGGAGATTGTTGACCATAAGGATTCTATCCAAGGACAATCTAAGTGTTTTGATGATAACAAACCATTAATGGTGTTTAAGGACTAATGTTTATATTAAGTGTTATAGATGATTTACATTCAAAGAAGAACCTCAGTGAAGATCATAAAGACCATTCCAAGTATTATATTACTCAAGATCACATCTATGGAAAGCAAAGGAAAATGAAGTTGCAAGGAACCAAATGCAAAGTCCATCCAAAAATAGCTTGGACTACAACGAGCAAGAAAGCAACTCAAACAAAGGAACAAAGCATAACTACCTCAAAACCTACACGATCATGGATAAAGCATAAAGAAAGGGATAGATAGGTTGGTGAGTGTTTAGGATTCATTGTCAATGTATTTATGAATCCATTTAGAGCTCATCTCTATAGGACCATGCATATCATACATCATTCATATGTTTCTATATCCATTAGCAATAGACTATACACTTCATTCATATAATTGACACATGAAATCTTTGCTAAAAGAAAGAGTTAGTTCAAGCTTGCATAAGCTTAGAAAGAACTCATCACTTGTGCTAGAAATGCTAAGACCATGTACATCAATCACATGACTCATATTGGTCAACGATTAAGGCATGAGAAGCCTTCATTACAATAAGTTGGTAACGGACTTTAGGACCCTTGTATGCGCATCATGAAAACTGTGTTTTTGACTAAGTGTGAAAAATGAATTTTTGAAGAAACCATTTTTCTAAGATAATTTTTCCCGATAATTACCCCTTACACTTTTAATAGCCTAAACTGATTTTATGGGATTTTTTCATCAATTCTACATGAGCCTACATGAAGGATCAAGTTTTACCAAAACTGTCGGGAACCCCAATTTGTACTAGAACTGAATTTTCACATTTTTGATTTAGTTGGATTTCAATTTTCTTATATTTTTTGTTGAATCCAAATGGGGGGTACTTCCTGATTTACATTGTAAACTTAAAGTAAATGGACATATAAATACTATAAAGACATTTACTTAAATGTTTTCAATGGAAATAAGCTATGAGTAGAAGTCCTGTGCAGAAGCCTGTTGCAGACCACAAACAGTTTGAATTTCTGATAAAATGCAACTAAGCCAACTTAGTCTCAAACTAAGTCGACTTATGTTGGCCGAGAGTTGTATAAATGAAAACCTCAACTTAGCCGACTCAATTAACAATTCAGCCGACTCAATTAGGCCGAGGCTCATCAAGATCAAAAGACAACTCAGCTGGCTCAATTGATAATCTAGCCGACTCAGTTCACAATTGAGCCGACTCCCTTCTCAATCCAGCCAACTCAATCAGGCCGAGGCTTATCACTTTCAGAAACTTAAAAATACACAACTCAGCCGACTCAGTTATTAACAGAGCTGACTTGTTCTTGAACTAAGCCGACTCAGTTCTTAACTAAGTCGACTTCTTTTGCTGGTCAAACAGATCTAGTATATAAATCCTTCATCTTTCAACCTGTGTTTCACTTTATGCTTTTGCAGTTTCTTACCCATGCGTATACTGACATAATGACTATACTCAAGCTCTGTTAAATTGTTTTAATCTTGAAGGGGAATAGTCAATGGCTATATTTTCTATGAAAGGGCCAAATACATAATTCCAAATTAGATGTCTGCCCAATGCACAGAGCATCTCTGCCAAAATAAGGTTTCTCTGTCAAATGAAGTTTCTCTGCCAAATGAAGCACTACTATGTCTTAATCTTGAAGAGGGTTTGCAACGGCTATTGACCAAGGAAGAGTCTATATATGCTGATATATGTTATTTGCAAAGGGCATGCTTGAGCCTCAAAGAAACAGAGCTGAGGAAGCCATTTTCATAAATCCAAGAGAGCTTTTGCTCTACCATTCTACAGAACTTTTGTTCTGGTATTACTCTTTGATAGAGCTCATGTTCTGAACAATCATTCAACCTCTCATATACAAACTTGCATAGCTAAAACATAGAGAGAGAAGCTGCGAATTTATTGAGCATTTTTCAGACCATTATTCAGAACTTTTGTTCTGAGATATTCACATTGATACAGAGCTGATGTTCTATTTTTCATCCTCTCACATTCGTCACACTTAGAGAGAGAGCTCCACTTGTATTCATTGATTCTCTAGAGTGAGTTATAATCTATAAATCAGAGAGAGTGAGATACTTGTAAACACTTCTATATTTCAGTTGAAAGCCTAAGAGAGGTTGTCTCTTAGCAAGGATATTGTAAGGGCTGATTTGGCCCAAAGGAAGTCTAAGAGAGGGTATCTCTTAGCAAGAAGATGCAAGGGAGTTGCTTCACTACAAGGATTGCTCTCTACCCGTAAGGAGAAGCCATAGTGGATTGGAAAGTCTCAAGAGGGGTCTTGAGCCGAGGAGTAGGAGTTTCCGAACCTCGCTAAAATCGCCGTGTCTATATTTGCAATCTTTCTTCCCTTATCTCTCTTATTATTGTGCCATTAACTTGCTGAATTTATATCTTTAATATTGCACAATAGCTATAATTTACTTGCTAGAAATTGAAGTTGCATAATCTAAAAATTAGTAACAGCTTGCTACTACATCTATTTGCTGATTTTGTTTAGTTCATAGTTGTCAAATAAAAATTGCAACTTGCACATCTACTTAATTTTAAATCCCCCTTCTAGAGTCTATTCTTGGGCAACAGTACACTTGTCTTCCATCTTTTCTTCTACCCATTTTTAGGCAGATGAAAATTTGTAAAGGATGAAGGATGGGTTATCGTTCATATTCTTATTTTTTTCCTTGAATCATCTCTACCGAATAAAGGAAATTCGTTACTTCCTTCCTATTTTCTCTCTATACCTCTTCTTTCATTCCTAGCGAATACAACATTTGGGATCGACATGCACTAACACACACACAATCACAAGAAATTTTGGCAACAATGCATGAGTGTGGATGTATGGGGTGCCTAACACCTTCCTCATATATAATCAGACCTTCGATTCCATTCATCTAGTTCGTTAGACCATATGGATGTCATCTCATAGAGCTATCACATATAACTCACATGTACATATTTTAGGTGACATAAAACATCAAAATTCGATGTTAGGTGACAACTTCGTTCTTCATGCCCTATTCACATTTTTGCTTATTTTCTCAAAAATATATTCTTTTACACAAATATTCACCACACCATTCGATCCAGAATGTTGTAGGAAAAGTTAGGGTGCGACAAGTTACACACTATTATTGCTTGTTAGGATTAAAAATAATACTACAAGACCATTTAGAAGCAAAAAAAAAAGTGTAATCCTTAAAACCAATTCTATTCCTGTAAAAATATGAATTGGACATAACAAATAAAGTAAAGTACGTATTGGATTGAATTCAATTTTTATCAATTCATAAGAATCCGATTGAATTGTGTTTGAAGTCTGATTGTTTTGTCACTCTAGTAACCCCATCAATTGGCAATAATAATAAAAATAAAAATAAAGCCATGCGTCACTATAATTTATTGAAGTCGACTACCTTAATCAACTATATCTTCTCTAAATACAATGACTAAAAGAAAAACGAAAACCAACAATTAAATATATAAAAACAAATAAAGAATCACAGAAAAGAAAAGAAAAAAAATACACTAAATTGACAACACTCGCAAAAACAAATAAAATAAAATGAACAATTCATACGATCTAGATCTGTCATGATACTAAATACTCCTTATTACATAATACATATCTCCAAAATCAACACAGTCAAAAAAGAAAAACATAACCCGCGTAAAGAAAATAACCAAAAGTATCAATCCATGAAACAAGAGAAAGAAGATTTTTATTTTATTTTTTTATTTGTACACAAGAGAGACACAACACAGATTATAATAGAAGGTCAGAAAGTATCACAAAATTAAAAATGAGAGCACTTAGAAGCCTGAAAAGTAGCAGATATTGTGCCCTTAGAAAGCAATGGAACCTTGAAGTCACACTTAACCACGGGTTTAATGGTGGTAGGGTCCATCCCACTCGTCTTGTCCGTAATCCGAAGATGGAGCTTCACAGCAATATGGTATATTCCAGAACTTTTATCGGAATTATATTGAGCAAGCTCAGAATTTCCAAGCATTACGATGTTCTGCCCTTTAAATACCGGACTCAACGTGTAGTTCTTCTTGTGACCCAGAGAAAATGGTGTCATAGTCACGGCATCAAACATCTTGTCCTCGTAGTAAGCCCTAGCTTCGATGCGCTTGAAGTCTTCGCTGATCTGCTTGTTAGGGTTGCTGATGGTTATATTGAGTGCGAGGTTGTAGTAGAGGGTGTTGGTGGTGGTGTTGAGGTTGAAATCGGCGAGCATAGCTTCAGTAACGTGGAACTTGATCACTTTCGGTTTGATAATGACAAAGACGAGTATCAGGGCCAAGACGGAGGTGCAGATTATAGTAACGATCCATTTCCCGATGAGGAAACAGCAATCACGAGCGCACTCACGATCGGATGATCTGGACATAATAAAGAGAGAGACGGTGGGTTAGTGATATATATAGTGATAAATAGGTTTTTCTCTTACATAACGCGGTTGCTCTGGAGTGTTATGCTTGATTAAATGGAGGTCGAAGACTTTTTTTTGTTGGGGGGTGGTGGGTTTTGATTTATAACATGGGAGTCGGGACATAGATTTATAACATGGGAGTCGGGACATAAACCGCGGTTGCTCTGGAGGGTTGTGCTTGGTAATTTCCCCAAGTCAATGATACCAGTCTCCCTTTCTTACTTAAAATAAACACACACATATATATTTTATAGTATACATGGAGTGTGGATTCGAAGACTTTTATTTGGGGGCACATTGATTGATAGTGTGTACTATTATAATTTATATATATCATGATTTATGGAATGCTGATCTCAAAGTATAATTTATAAATTAAAAGGGCCAATTGTAAAAAATTCTCTCCACTATTAGTCATTGGCAAATATATATTTTAAAAAAAAAAAAAAAAAAAAAAAAAAAACTATTTAAAAGAAATGTTTTTAACTGATGTCCATTTAAATAATTTTTTGAGGAATTTTTTCGGACAACTTATTAAACTGTCTTCATACATTCTCAAATAAGAGAGTAACTAACTACACAATTGATCAAATGTAAACTATCCCATGGTTAAAAATCGAGTCAACAGATAATCAAACATATAAAAGGGAAAAAGTCCTTATTAGTTCTATTTTTGGAGCTGAAAGACAATCAAGTGCTAAAAAAAAATTTTGAGAACAAATAAGTCATATTTTTACAATTTATTTCCAAATAAGTTCAAATTTATTTTGTTTTCCAACATTACCCTTGTTTTTAAACTACTTTAACTCTCTCACAAATATCTGGTCAAGTACTTCAATTTGCAACTTAGCATTTATATCAGAAGGAGGAGGATAATAATAGTTGATGATTGTTAGCCCCAACCTAGATGGAACTCCAAAAGTATTTTAATATGCTCACATATCCTCTGTGAGTTACGACAATCCCAATTGGTTGACCTTCTCTGAGTTTCAAGGTGGCAATGGCATTCCTTGCTCGTGACTTCACAGGCCTCTGGCCTGTAATGAGGGCTAAATCATTCACTGCTGCATCCAACCCCTTCGCGTTCTGCACAGCATCTCCCATACCACAGTTCACCACAATCTTCTCAACCTTCGGAACCTACCCAAATACCACATTGCAACATAAAAAAGCTAATAAACTATAGACATTGTTTCTTTTTAACATCAAACATCTTGTAGAAAAATATATCCAGTAAAAGTATAAGTAATTTTTGGAAAGCTCTATTATATAGATATATCTATAGCTACATGTATATACAGTGTATTGGGTTTAGTCTCAGATTCAAAATTCCATCTTTTATCATTCTGTAGCATTTTCTCATCAATTGTTTCCTAAGATGGTGCAAAGAAGAAAATCTAACACATTACTCAAATTTATTTTCTTCTCCTGCATACCTCAGAAACCAAACAGAGAAACAACTAAGAAACCCTAAAATTACAAAGAAAACGAGAAACAGAGAAGACAGAGGAGTGACCCGGAAGAAAAAAAAAAGTATTTTAATAACAAGGGTAATGTTGAAAAACAAAATAAATTTGAACTGATTTGAAAATAAATTGCAAAAGTAGGACTTGTTTATCCTAAAAAAAAAAAATTAGAACTTAAATGTCTTTCAGCTCCAAAAGTAGGACTAATAAAGAATTTTCCCCATATAAAAATGAATCATAACTCAGGCCTACCTAATGTATGGCTCAGATCCACAAGTCAGTTAACCATGTATGGGTGTTACAAGGGGCCATTTGTCCCATGCACATTAGATCTTGATAGAAAAATGATTGGGTATAAATGGGTGGATATGTAGCATTATCCAATAATTTGAGTTTTTGGATAAATAGGTAAGCATTTACCCGTCCGTTACAGTTGGTATTAGAGTCAGACCCAATTCTTGATCCAGCGCTACGCTAAGCGCTCGGCCCGGAAAGCGTCCGGGTGAGCCATCCCGGGTAGGTAGAGTGACCAGACCGCAATGAGTTAAGGCATTGCAAGTTCAGGCGGGGAAGAATTTTACAAGAGACCATTTGTCCCACATCGAATTTGAATGGATAAGTGATTGGGTATAAATGAGTGAATATACAGTATTATCTAACAGTTTGAACTTTTAAATAAATGGACAAGGGCTCACTCGTTACAATAAACTAGATGAAACTGAGCATTTACAGTATTAAGCATGGAAGACAAAGTCACCCCAGCAATTTGACACATTCAACCCACTGTCCAATAGACACCTTAAAAGGACTTGCACACTTTTCTTTACCAATAAACTAAATCCTAAAATAAATAAATCAAATTCAAAATAAAAAAATCAAAATTGATTTAAAGAAAGCATCAAGAGAGCTAAAGGAATAAAAATATATCAAGAATAGTTGAGAGGAAGAGACCTAAAATATGCAGACCCCTCGCCTGAGAGATGTCACACTATTGTATGCCTTGATGGCTGTTCCAAAAATAATAAATTGTCTAAAGAATAATATGAAAAGAGAAGTTCTACCCAACTACAAGTTTCATATTCACATTTGTTAATTGGAGATATAGTGAGATAAAGCACCAAATCTAGTTCCGGATGGTTATAAATTTAGTCGGAATATCCTTGAAAGAATGAGAAGGCTTTGCTTAGGGAAAGAGAGAAGTATATAAATTGTCTGAAGAATAATTTGTTAAGGGTAATTTCATTTGAAAAATTACCTTATAAAATTACTTAAACGGACATTGGTTAAAAATACTCCCTTGGAATAATTGAGGGGGGGTTTTGCCAAAAAATATTTATAAGGGGGTTTCCACAACTGACTAATAGTCGATGGGGTTTATATTGCGATTCACCCTAAAAAAAAATGATTCCTCACTACATATTGTCAATGCTGGTTACATATATTCACTACAAGCCAGCCAATTTGTAGGTAATGTTAACCATATATGAAAGATAGACTAGGTAAAATTAAGGGACGAAGTGTCGAGAACATTCCTAAAGTATACTTCGCGTAACATTTTTACCCTATATTTGAAAAAATTGTGCAAAAAATACCCCTAATCTTTTCACATTGTGCAAAAATTTCCCTCAATCAAAAATCTGACATAAATTAGTGCTATAATACTTGTTTTGCCTTTTTACTCTTCCAAAAATTTCCAAGAGGATATATATGTTACTAACCTTATAGTATATGGGTGTTATGTGCACATTACCTTATATATATATATTTTTCGAAATTTTATTCTCTATATATATCTCTAAACTTTTTTTTTTTTTTTTTTTTTGAAACTTTCAACAATTTTTAGAATAAGGATTTGAATTTTTTGATATTTCAGTTTACTGTTTTCTATTAAAAAAAAAATTTCTTTATATATATATTTTTTCATACCAACACGGTTAAAAAAAAAAAATTTATTGTGCACTGGTTTTCGAAGTTTTTAGTAGAATTGTTTTCTTTAGTTTGCACTTTATTTTCGTTTTTTATTTTTTTATTTTTATCTTTACTTTTCTTTTATATTTTTAATTTTGTCTTTACTTGTCCATTGTTGGCGTCCTTCAATAGTGTCATTTTCGGTCATTTTACAAAATTATTTATTTTATATATTTTATAAAATGGTTCAGTAAAAGTAATTTAGTCAACTTGGAGTTTAAATTTGTGAGAGATACCTATTTACACCAAATTAAAACTTTAAAGGTGATTTTTGCATGTAAAGATGTGATATGTAATGTAAACATGTTTTAGAGGTGTTTTCTGCACTTAATACTAAAATTAAGGTTAAATAACTAGTCTTTCTACTCATTACTCGCCTACCTAGTGAATTTGAGTGTAAACTCTCGTAATGGAGGTCAAGGGTTTGAGGCTGCTAGAGACAAAAGATAGAAAATATATATATATATATTCTATCCATCTAGCCAACCTACCTCCAAGTAGAATATGTAGACTTCACCATCACACATAGGGATTAAAAAAATAAAAAAAAATAAAATAAAAAATAAAAAAAGGAACGAAGGAAGAAAATGTAGACTTCACCATTACACCTAAAGATTTGTTGTTTGTATTGTATCATGAAGTTGAATCATAATTTTCTTCGTCTAATGAAATACTTTCACACGGCGCAAGTAGAAAGTGCGAGATGTATCTTTCGAAATAGTAGGATTAGCTATCTAATTAAATACTAGAATCTATCAGCTTAACACGTCCAAGTCTACCAGCAAGTATTATTTATTTAATATTAGGATCAACATCAAACTACCCATGGTTGGTATCCATATAAAATAGAACAATTTGATTTATAGTTTATTCATCCTCAACAATATTAAATTCTCAAAAGATTGATTTCTTCTTGAGGCATTATTCAACGAGATCTTTATTATAAGTTGGCACGAAAGGTAAACAACATTATAAAATCATTCATTGTGAATTAATAATTTAGAAGAAATATTAGAAGAATGCGTTTTAATTATCTGGGTTAGATATCACTTTGCTTTCTCGCTAAAGTCTCTATGTATATCATCAACACCTTAATTTCATATATAATTGGAGTTGTCACAATATATATAACTTAGCCATGTATAGATGTAGATGCAAAATAATAGTCCTTTCTATTAATGGAATGTTTTCTTTTTACATCATATAGTCCACCTTCCTTTTTTCCCATTCCTATTTATAGTACATTCCTCTTTAGTCTTTACCCTAATTCCCCTTACTTGGGTTTCAAATTGGAAATAAAACGGACGTAGTTTTCCCTTGGGCCGTCCCATTCTGGGTCAGGCCCGATTTGAAATTGACTGGACAAGGATATTGCTGGATCGGATTCGGCCCAATGGTGTTTTCGGCCCCCTTCAATAGAAAAAAAACAACTCCTTAGAAGGTAATCAATTTAACCAAAATTAGTGCGAATGAGAGTTGTTTGTTTGCAATTTCACCTGCTTGCTCCCCAATGTCCTCATGTAA